CACACTCTCTCTCACACACACTCTCTCACACACTCTCTCTCACACACACACACACTCACTCTCACACACACACCCGTGAATTCTCCGTCTATAGAGATGAAATCCGCCTCCTGCACAGCGTTACACACCTCTGGAAGAACCTCCTTAAAATCTGCACAAGACACAGATTGATACATATTAACAGATGTTCACAAGCACGACTACACACTCGCTGCGTGCGGTTTAACGGTGATGTATTTGGTTAATCTGACGGTCTTACTCTGTCTCGTGACCTCCATCCTGTACAGCAGCGACAAACACACAAACACACACTGGTCTGGAAGCTTTAACCCCCGCCGCCGGAAACACTCGCTCGCACTTCCGCTTCCTGTCCGAGCCTGCAGGAGGCGCTCTGAGTCAGGGTCAAATGTCATGATGATTTTTGGGCCACTGGAGGCTTTTGTACGCTAGATATATTGTAATTATTTTCATACATTAAATCCAAATATTTCATACATTAGATATAAATTAAAATCCGCTCAAGTGATCCTTGCGAAATAATTAAATAGAACACGATTAAGCAGTCAACACAAGCGACTGTGATTGGCTCATCTTGCTCAGCGCAGAGACAATTAACAAGTATTTTAATTTACATGACATTAAACATACACAGTGGCTATTTCATACAGATGAATTATGCAGTCGAGCAGGAATCCAGTGAATCAAATCAAACAAGAATCCCAGCTAAACATTTAATATCTGACAACTGTTTACGGTTGAAATATTAAAGGCTTGACAAACTATTCCACATGTATGAAAGTGTGTCGTATTGAATTGAAATTAACCTGTATTATTCAGTGAAGTAGTCTGTAATTGAATTACTTGACAAGAAACATGAACTAAGCTATTTTCAGAATACAATCAATTATTTCTCTCACTTTTTTCTTTATCCAATTAAATTCGTTTAAATAAAAGGACCATTGCATTTCTGAAAACATAAATGTTTTACAAAAAAATCAACCCTGAAAACACTTCTTTCCTTACCAGTATTCACAACTGTAAGCTTATAATAATGATTTATAATTTGAGCTGCCGGGTCGGAATTCGCGGGAAATGCCTGCCACGTCCGTGAACCGAAGAAGAAGAAGAAGAAGAAGAAGAAGAACGAAGCTTTTCAGAACTCTATTAATACACTTTCTAAGCGCTCGAAACACAGTCTGGCGACACCTGCTGCTCAAAACTGCGTAAATGAAACGAAACTCGGCTCAAATGTGTGTAATATACATCTTCAAACCCTAACCATTAAAAAGAGTTCTGTAAAAGTTGTGTTCTTTTATTAATGTGCAGTGCTTGTTTTCTGTGTTATTACTAGGCATGGGTTGACAAATTAGAAACAATTAAATATCATACTACATTTTAGTTATACACACATAAGTATTGCAATTCATTTAAATTAGCATAACATTTGCCTTGTTCAGAGAAGAGCATACAAGCAAAGAGTGAAAATGACAGCTGGCTTTTCTTCTGTACAAACACTCACAGTATCGCTGCTGAACACAGTTGATCTGGCTGTAATTCCAGTCTTTCAGGAGCTTCAGCGCTTCAATCTGCTGCTTGATCTAGAAAATCTTCATCTGCATCTCTTCTTCTGAAATGATGGTCTTTTCTGCTTTATTAGGTCTCCACGAGCACAACAGCTTTATATGACAGGAGCGACACAGCAGCCTCTGAGCCTCAGCTCTCACTCAGATAACATTCACCTCACTGTCTGCTGAGTTTCATGCAGAAATCTACATTAATGTAGTGCTTTATATGCAATCAGAAACTCCTAACATCTTATATGAGGCTCTTACTCTGAAAGCTACAAAGAGAATCAACATTTCTCTAACAGAATATTTGTGCATCTAGAATTTAATCTGTTCAAAGATAGACATACAGATTTGTTTGTAGTGTGCATGAGTTTGAGAGCGAGAGAGTGTGTGTGAGTGTGGGTGTGTTTGTAAGTGTATGTTAGGTTGGTGAGATGGTTGGTCTCCATAAGCATTGTGGCAAAGTGCCCATCATTCAATTAGCATCGCCCCTGGCAACAGCAATCTCCCCCAATCAGCTCATCAGGAGGAGAGAGATACAAAGGCCACAGCAAGCCTCAGTTAGGGGGAGAGGATCCAATGTTCACTGACCTGTCTAATGTGTGAAGTGACTGAGGACCAGGCCAAGCCAACAACACTCTCACCGCCACCGCACAAAGAAGAGAACTATTCCCCGAGTCCACCTACACTCACAAATCACAAGGAGCATCCACGAAGGCCCAGAGGACGCCACAGCCACAGCCACTCTCACTGCCCCACTCCTCCTCCACTATTGTAAATAAAGAGCCCTCTGGGCATTCAAACATCTGTCTGTGTTGTGCCTCCTCCCTGCCCTGCTACAGCATCCACAGGTGTGTGTGTGTGAGTGTGTGTGAGTGTGC